GCCCGCGCCAAAAAAAAAAAAAAAAAAAAAAAAAAAAAAACCTCTCCAAAAAAAAAAAAGAATTATTTATTCTATTTTTATGTATTGTTATTCTTTAGTTTGACTAGAGAGAGACAGGGAGAGGGAGAAAGCAAGCCGCTAGGTCCAGGACTCAAACCGCAGTCAGCCATGTGGAGTCCAGCTCCCCAACCTCCATGCCACCTGCCAGTCCCAAGACACACTCGTTTCGGGGACCCGTAACGGGCACCAGCCAGCACCCGCTTCGTTCATGCGGTGCCGTCTTATTAGTGATCTGTGTCACTCTTTACAAGAGGAGGCGCCTCCACCAGCTTTCCCACGACTTTGTCTTGGGGAGGAAATGAGACTGGAGTGGCTGACACCCATGTAGTTGTGTCCTGCGTCCACCCCCTTTCTGGAAGCTGTTTAAAAGCTGTGAACTGTATGTACAAGTGGAAGGGGTCGGACAATGTCAGCATTTCCCGTTGACACCAGGTACAGCGTGAATCCACCCGCGGAAGCCAAGACGTCTACAGCCTCAGACAGCGCAGCCTCACGGACCCCGGTGAGCCCCTGCCCCCCGCCCTTCTCACAGCTCACAGCGTCTTCCTAGATACGGATGCCCGCGTGGACGGCTGAACGCGGGACGGCAGAGCTGGCCCACGGTCCCCGCGTTGTTTTCAGGCCTGGCCATTCAGCCTTACGTGGCCAGAGGTTTTAACTGTAGCTTTCCATGGAGGCTCCCAGTGAGCTGACTAACTGGGTGATTTGGGGCTCTGCTCAGCCCTGTAATTAAGCAGGAACTGCACACCAGGTCTGTGAAATAGCAGTTAGCGAAGGCCACGAGGCCGTGGTCGCTGAGGCCAGTCCTGCACGCGTGTGCATCTGTGGGCACATGCTGATGTTTAAAACTGCTCTCTGTAATGCTCCCCGAGTAGCAATGTGTGTCCAGGTCACGATGGGCATGAGTAAGACAGCAGTGCCGCCCCAAATTCCTTTCTCGCCAGTTCCCACCGACCAGCCTCCAGCTGGCTACGGGACGAACCATGGCATCTTCAGCTGTGGGACTCAGGGCCGACGCCCACATGGCCCCTTCCCGAAGGGATCGGAGTGCTCCGGAAAGGACAGCGGTAAAAACAGCGAAGTGAGGGGGAGGGCACAGGCCCGGCTATCCTGAGCCAAGCCCTGAGCCCAAGAATGCACGTTTTGTCCGGTGGGGCGCGGCCGGGGCCAGAAAGACTTTCTGAGGGGGTGCCGTTGAAGGGGGACCCAAGAGTGGTAAGATGCAGACTAGCAGAGGAGAAGGGGCGTGCGCACCAAGGCGGCAGGATGCGCAAAGGTACAGTGTCGGGGAAGCAGGCGGCAGTGTCCCCCCATGGCTAGGCCGCGGCGCAGTCCAGGCAGGCGGCAGGGATTTGACAGACAGAGCCTGATCGGGAAGGGGCTTAAGCAAATCAGTCTGTTCTCTAGACGGAGGCAGAGGGGCTCGTCCAGGCAAGGTAGAAAATTTCCCATCACTGGAGACAGGACGGAACAGGATCGGAGAAGCAGAGCTGTCAGCGGGGTTGGCGAGTAGACTGCCAGTGAGGGGAGCGGCCTCCAGGTGTACTCCCAACTGTCACCACCTGAGGGCGGTGTGGGCGCTCCTCTGGATGGGTGCCCTCAGACCCAGGGACTTCACTGGGGCCCCATACTTAATGACGAAGAGGAAGCAACGTTCTTCCCCTTCAAAGAGGAAGGTAGCTTGAAGGGAAGCGTGGATCCTGGGGGCCTTTCAGTCATCCCAAAACTATGAAGACCTCTGGTTTGTCGTGTTGCTAGACTCCCTCTGCTTCTGCTGTGGGTTATTTTTCTTTTGGTTAAGCCTGCTTTCTCCACTTTATCTGGACCCAAATCATTTAAACCGTTGCCATTTCGCCTTGTTTTATAATGCCTCCCTGGGTCTCTGGGGTCTTCACAGGAAATATGATCACTTTCGTGTGGCTAAAAAACATGCATTTATTTCTGCAGGAAAGCATTGCTCCAAACCCTCTTGCTAAGGAAGAGCTGAATTTGTTGGCCAGGCTGATGGGAGGAATGGAAATTAAGACACCCAGTGGCCCTGAGCCAGGATTCCGGCTGAATCTCTTTACCACTGATGAAGAGGAGGAGTATGTTTTAAACCTTTTTCTGTTGTTAAGTTTTGCTATAGGCCACACGTGATCACCAAAGAGAGCGAGAAAGGGCGAGTGAGGAACCGCCCCTACTGGGGGCGGCCATGCCATAATCCGTTCTCCTCTTAGGATTTTGGGCATGTATGCACAGGCCCCCAGTGTGTTTTTCAAGCTGCTGAGTCTAGGAGTCAAACCATGCAGTCAGCCATGTGGATCCGGTGCCCTAACTAGCACACCACCAGTTGGCTCACAAACGTGTTTCTTTAAAGACATAGATACACATCCTAAGTGAGAGTAGGACCCAGGAATAACAATGACAAGCCAGTGAACTTGTACATGCAGGTATAAAAACACAAATAAAAGACAACAAATGCAATGACCTAGTTAAAGGACCCACCAGGACCAAGTGGCCTGGACCTCCTGGAGTCACTGAGAAGAGTCTTGAGCTCTCTTGGCAGAGCGCAGCTGAGCGAGACGTGTTGAAAGCCGGGGCGGCCTGTTACGTAACCAGCTGGAGTGCGAAGCTTGATGTCTTCAGAATTAGGCAGTGTCACCCGAAATCAGCGTAACTCACTGAAAATCGTGCTGCACAGGCCCCCAGTGTGTTTTTCAAGCTGCTGAGTCTAGGAGTCAAACCATGCAGTCAGCCATGTGGATCCGGTGCCCTAACTAGCACACCACCAGTTGGCTCACAAACGTGTTTCTTTAAAGACATAGATACACATCCTAAGTGAGAGTAGGACCCAGGAATAACAATGACAAGCCAGTGAACTTGTACATGCAGGTATAAAAACACAAATAAAAGACAACAAATGCAATGACCTAGTTAAAGGACCCACCAGGACCAAGTGGCCTGGACCTCCTGGAGTCACTGAGAAGAGTCTTGAGCTCTCTTGGCAGAGCGCAGCTGAGCGAGACGTGTTGAAAGCCGGGGCGGCCTGTTACGTAACCAGCTGGAGTGCGAAGCTTGATGTCTTCAGAATTAGGCAGTGTCACCCGAAATCAGCGTAACTCACTGAAAATCGTGCAGCGCCTTACAGCTCACAGCACACTCCTGCATGCAATCCAGTGTGGTCCCCTCACAACCACACCTCGGGGTTACCTTCTGCTCCCCCTTCATTGAACGATGCTCCTCCTTCGCATTCGTGTGGCCGGTGCTGTGTTAGGTGCTGAGGACACAGACGGAGTGTGAGAGCTGACAAAGGCGCACACACACAAGTCTTCCAGCGCCACGCCACAAATGCGCTCATCGAGGACACAGTGGCCGGCTTTGCGCCCGCAGATGGAAGGAGCTGCCGTTCGATCTGGTCTTGGAGCTTGCCAAGCCGAGGCAGGGGGCAGACGTCCTTGGCAGAGCTGAGAATGTGGAAAGGCACAGGGACATAAAAGGGCTTGCTTTCTGGGGAGCAGTGTACAGCAGTTGAGGAGGGGTGGAAAATCGGTAGGAAATGCCAGAAGATTAACCAGGAAAAGAAAGGCTGTCAGATTAACGAGAGCCAGTACGCTGGGCTTCCTGGGAGAAACCCTAACCTTGCATGCTTTCTTTTCCATCTCGCCCAGACAAGCAGCACTAGCCAGCCAGGAAGAGCCGTCCTGTGAAGTCATCGACATACAGGCTACCCAGGTATTACGGGGGTCAGTCACACGGTCTGGTCCTATCGCCCCATCTTATAATCACCTCGAACTTCAAGGACCCCCTCTCCTTCCTGGTCAGCCTGACTGCACCCCTCTCCTGATAGACGGGCGAGCCCCGGCAGCGCGTCACCATGGTGGGACTGTCACGGCAGCCCTGCCAGCATGCCTTCCTCATTCCCTGCCACCTGGCCTTTCTCTTCCAGGACCCACAACGGGGAGAAGAGCTGGCCCGGATCATGGGAGAGTTCGAGATCACGGATGAGCCGAGGCGGAGCACCAGCAAGGGGGACGACCTGCTCGCCATGATGGACGAGCTGTAGTGGGGCCCCCCGGCACTCTGTGCCCTGCCGGGGAGGGGCTGCCTATGTGACCACCCTGGGAACATCCCAAGGTCCAAAGTGATGCTGCTAGTTTTCCGCTGAATGAGCCGTTAGCGCTCGTGCCTGTTGATGTCCTAGAACTGTGCCAGCCTCCCTCCGAGCGCACTTACCTTGAAGGCACACACATATACATATTTTCAGCAAAATATACTCTGCTTTGAAACTGGACCTTTCCCATGTTATTCGTGATTCTGCGGCAGCCACCCACAGCATCCAGGGCCGTAGGTGTGACCACCAGAGTCGGTGAAAGCACGCATTTGTCACCTTCAGGCTTACTTGTCATGCTCCTGCAAGGACCTTTACCTCACAGGCCTGGGCATCAGCAAAAACTTCCGGCCGCTCTGGGATGCATCCTGCCTGTGGGTTGGGCAGAAACCAGGGGGAAAGGCAGTTGTCTCAAACAGCCCAGGTCCAGTTCGGACAGCCTTGCCTCCCTGGCACTGGGAACGCCAGCCTCCAAGAGGCTGTTCTAGTCCATTCTCTGTTGCTTAATTCCCAGGTGTCTGGAATTGGGCGCTCTCTAAGAACAGGCGTGAGCCGGCTGCTTGGTGCAGTGGTAATGTGCTGCTCAAGAGGAGCTGGGTCCCTTGGGAACCAGCAGTTAGTGTCATGGCTATGTCGCTGGACTCCCACGTAGTCGACCGCGGTTTGCGTCCCGGACACGTCCTGGACCCGGTGGCTTAGAACTCACGCTGGGCGCATGTGCGTGCATGCCCAAGGTCCCAAGAGGAGAATGGAGGAGAAGGGATTGCGGCGTGGCCATCCCCCCTGGGGGATGATTTCTCACTTTCTGTCTCTATGTCTGTCTCTGGCGAGCGCACGTGCCCTATAGCGAAAACCTCTAAAAAAAAAAAAGAAAAAGAAAGAAGAAAGAAGAGCTGGATCCCACGCGGTGATTGCACGATTCGGATCCCAGCCCAGCTGGCGTGAAACACGAAGGGCGCGAAGCACACACACCCGAGTACCTGAGACCCAGTGGCCTGGAGGGCTGGAGGGAGGGGCCAGGGCGTGGCCAGACCCCATAGAGGACGCCCCTCTCGGTTGCTTTTATTCTTTTTTTTTTGGAGAGGTTTTCACTATAGGGTGCGTGCGCTCGCC